TGTGGGAATGCGAAACAGGATATTCAATTCTGCTGCCCTGTGCTATAGAATCATTCATTGGACTTTTTACGGAGTACTCGCCGGTACCGTCACGGCGCTGAGAAATTACTTGCGGATTTGACGAAGCTCTGGGTCGTGACGTGTATGGCTGCCATTGACTGGAAAGACTCTTGAGCATGTTCTGTAAAGGTGAAGCTTCGTTTTCTGGGATATGCCGTGTCCAACAACTTTTTGCCTCGAAATTTAGTTATAGATGGTGATAGTTTTGTGTCTGTACTCACATAAGATGACCACTACTAGTCTTCTTGGTGACATTGAACAGGTGTTATAGACACCTGGGCCCAGTAGAGCCTATAGCGAAATTTGGCGTGAATCATGTATTATCCTTTCTATCGGCTATTTATCGGCCCTTTGAGCAAGATGAATATCTACGTCAACATTCATGATACAATAGAGAGGGATGCTGTACCCAATGGACCTATATATTTATAGCTGTCACGTAAAGTAGACCAAATGCCACCAGGATTAATACACACTATATCTAACTGGTATGGTGTCGTTGCCACTTTCAAGTGTGATTTGAGTCTTTTCATATAGCTACCAATAATCGACCTCAAATGAAGACCCTGACGTATTGCATGGGAGGTCGTAAACCCCAGGTCCCAAGTATGACCAGCTCGAAATCGGGCAATCTCCACTAAAAGAGCACTGAGATCTTCCAAGAGGAAATTTGGCCTGGACATTCTCTGCGTAATCCAGTATGGCAAGTGAGATGCAAAGGAGAGAAAAGCCTGGTGTTTTTAGAAAGGCACACCACAACCGTATCTTCCAGGCTCCTCCCACGTTTGAGAAAATCTGCGGGATATTTTGTCTGTCAATTGATCCCAGTCCACTTAATATGAATTTGGGTCAACGGTCAGACTCTACAACTTGATGAACCGCTAGCCTCCAAACATACGCGTCTACCAAGCTCATTCATATTCCTCTTCATTGGCCCATGCCGACTCACATGAGAAGATTTCAGTGCAAAGTCAACAGGACGATATTGCCGCCCTCTTTTTATTACACCGTTTGCTGGACCTCCTAGGATAACCACATGAGCAAAAGGCTGATCTCTTCGCAACTATCCCACACCTATGCGTTGGTGACGCTTCTCACGCGAGTATTTTGTAGTCCAGCAAAGACAATAGACGGAGAGTTTGAACAAAACAAGGGGCCATCTTTGTTTCTTAATCTAATGCTTAAGTAGAAAAAAAAAACCTTCTTCCATTAGCCCATGAAGGAGGCACAAATGATTTTATTTAATCCCTTGAATTCATCTTTTCGACAAGCACATGGATGAATAACGCGCGCACCGTTGGCACTTGTTTCGAGGGCTACAGCTTACATGGTGACATGGAGAAAGACTGATGGCTTGCGCTTCTTTTCAAGTTTCATGCTAACAAGTTTCTGTCTGACGGTAGCAGCCTTCTTGTTCTTCTGCCATCGCCAGGGTTGAGGGTTGCATGTGCTGAGCAAGCAAAAATGGTGTCTGGTAAGGGAACAATAAAGCCAGCACATGATGGACGTTGTCAGGACGCAAACACGGAGCCTCTGGCGTCACCGCTTGCACAACTTATTCCTTACAAACGACAAACTACTCGCACAGCAAAGTAGTTTTATTTATTTTGGGACGTCTACCCTAGCGGAACACACCGGCAATGGGAGCATGGATAGTCTATTCAAGGCTTAGTACATACCATTATGGTTCAGTTTCTGAGACTGATTCTCTGTCCATGCCACAGCCAGGTTCTTGCTGTTTGCAAACCCGTCAATCAAGCATCTTGTGGGCACACAGCAGAGTCCATGGTTTCATCGGGCATCAATCCGCTATTGAAAGGTTGTCCGTGTTGCCATCCGTTTGGGTTGAAACTGTCCACGATGGCATACGCCACCCAGCGTATATAGTATCTGGTAGATGACTGGCACGTGCCCACTGCCGAACATGATGAACTCGTACAGGAAGCACCGCAGAAAGGTGGTCGGTAGACAATGATCCGTTTGTTGCAGATGCCTCGCTGCTTGTGAGGCTGGGGGCCATGGCTTGGCGACGCGCAGCACGCATCAAGGGCTGGTAGAAGCAGGCCCAAGACAACTTGGCAACATGAAACTACACATGTAGTTGAATCCGTTCACCGTGTCCGTACTTGGCAACCGGCCGTGTCAGCCTTGGCTGGTCACAAGACCCGTGGTTGGGCTGGCATGGACACAACCCGTCTTGAATAGACATGAGCTGACCAGCACAACCATGTTTCCCCCGCACCGGCAAACTGTGGCTTCTCGGTGAGATGCAGCCCAATCCGCGGCCGGGCACCTCTTATCTTGCGCCGGCAAATGTGGATTACCCCGGCATCGCTCCCTCTCCTCACCCCTTCGTCGACGTCCATCGCCCAAGAGCCCATCTGATAATGGACGGCGGTCGCTATGCGAAGCGAGCGCGTCAGGCTTGCGAGCCTTGTCGGTATTCACGCCTCACCCTGGAACCTTGTGAGATGGCCGGTTTTTTTTGGTTGACACATGGATCGTAGGAGGAAAAAGTCACGATGTCCGGGAGAGCGACCAATCTGCTCCTATTGCGAGCGCCTTGGCCAGCGTTGCGTATACAACGCCGCGGCGGGGGAATCGGGCAGTCAAGCTAGGCATGACAGAAAAATGGTGAGGCCTTTTCCCCTGCTGCGTACCGAGTTTGCCACGGCATCGGGCTGACGGGGAGAGTAGGCGCATCGGATTGACAGTCTCGAGGGGAAAATGGACCAGCTTATACAGCGGCTCAGGTGAGAGACGGATTGGCCACGAATACCGAGAGGTTTGGCACGAGTTAATTCACGCAGCCCCGTGGCCATGTCTAGTCGCCAGTCTGTGACGCCATATCCACGGCCGACCAGCAGTCGAGCATCGTGTGTTGGAGACATTTCATGGTGGGATGTGGGCGAGGAGTGCGGTGAAGAGCTCTTGTATGTCCACAACCGGTCAATGTTTAATCTTGCCTGAATCCGGCTATTACGTATACTGACTGTCTAGCAGCGATTTACTCGTGCACAAAGAGAAGCTACTGTCCATGGGCCGGCTCTACATGACGTGGTGTCACGGACAACCCATCTCGCTGTTCAACCCCGACACATTCCTAGAGTCCTTGACGTTTCGGGATCTTGAACTAATCCTCGCACTGCAGACACTGAGCCTTCGATATCCACCCGGCACGCTCACGCCTCAAAAGCGCGACAAGCTGGATTCCATGGAAAAGGAGGCACGGAGCGCCGTCATGAGCCGCATCGCCAGTTCGGAAGCCGAGCTGTCCACCCTCCAGACACTGTGCATTCTTAGCATGGTCGAGTTTGCAGGTGACGACAAATGACTACAATTCTCGCCGTCATGAGCGGCTTTGGCTAACTCGTCGAGCGTCGTAGATGGCAAGGTTGCCCAGGCAGGACTGCACGTAGCCATGGCAAGTCAACTCGCTCAATGCGTGCAGCCCAACAACATGCTTGGAGACGCGCAAGAGTTCAACGACTGCGTCCACGGCATCATTATGCTCCAGAATCTGCAAGGCTGCATCCCCCCAACCACCGGTCCCGGCAGTGCCCTCTCCTGCAGCAACGCGCCTTCAATCTCCCAAATCCACGCGGCGGCTCTTTCGGGCGTCGAGCCGTCATGTCCGCCATCAGGGGCGGCTCTCGGGCACAGCCAGATGGACTCGGGCATCATGAAGTATGCCCTCGAGCTGAGCGAGGCTTGGAGAATGGCCAGGGCGTACGCCGCGAGCCGCGTTCCCTCGGACGCGCTCCCGCCATGGAACCAGCGCTCGGATTACTCGGAAATCATGCATCTGCACCTCGAGTTTGACTGCCGCGTGCCGTTGAAGTACCGCTTTGCTGCTAATAAGTTTGCAGACCAGGACCAAGATTCGCTCGAGCAGCACCGCAACTATTGGGGCCCCTGGCTCTTTGTACAGATTGTGTATGCCGTGATTCCATGCATACTCAACCACCCGTTCCTGCTGTCGATGCGGCTCAAGAACTGTCGCCACACAGTGCCTCAATCCTTCATTCACCACTCGTTTGAATACATTAACCGGCACGCCGGGTGGATCGTATACTTTATTAATCTGCTGGACAAGAAGTCGTTTCACATTTCCGACCCATCGCTGGCCCATTGCATCGCCATCGTGGCCACCATTCACCTCCAGCACAGCTTCGTCCAAGACCGAGCGCTGCGAGACAAGGCGCAGCAGGGATTCGACAAGTGCATGAGTTGTCTGCGAAGAATGGGGGGCACATGGCCCTGCGTGTCCATCATGGTATTATCACACGCACATGGACCAGCACCGACTCGCGCAGTTCCAGTCGCTGACCATGGACATCTAGGCGAATAACCTCGCCAAGCTGCGAGAAAGCGTGGGCGTCGTCCCGTCCGACTCGCTCGACGGACAAGTCGTCGGCGGCCGCACGTCCTTTTCCATCGACGCCCAGCTCCTCTGGGACATTCTCATCTACGAGCGCGCCGGGCGCCCCGACGCCGGCGCCGACCAGTCCATCTTTGGCAAGACGCTCAAAGTCGGCAGCAAGCCTCGCCCGGGCGACGCGCCGACCGCCGCCGAGTTCGACCTCGTCGGCTCGGCGGGCATATCCGGCCACAAGGCCGTCTCCAAAGAGACGCCTGCCTACGCGCCAAACGAGGATGTGCCCCCTACGCCGCGCCTCCTCGAGACCAACATGGGCGCCGAGGACGAGGCGACGCCGGGCATTGGCGTGTCGGTGGAGGACCGCTTCTTCGAGGGCATCGGCGGCCGGGACGGGCAGGAACACTTGTTTCTTCAGGCCAACGACTTTGGCAAGGCGATTGACAATTGGCTAAGCTTTGATTCATTCTGATGACACTATTCCATGTCCCGTCTGTCTGTCTGCTAGTGAATAACCCTTTCTGACTACCATGCCAATTCGCAGTTTGCTTTGCGGCTCGATTCACACTCTAGCCGGCTGCACAAGTCCATGTCCGCTTGCACCGTCGTCGTGACCTTGTGTTTGGGCACCGCGGGCCGGATTTCCGCCCCGGCCGCCTCCTCCGCTTCGTGATGTGTAGTCACCAGGTCGCGGGTCAGCTTTTGAAAGAACAACGGCCCCTGTGCGACGGCGAGTCAGAACGGTGTGAAGAATTGTGCGGCGGGCGCGAACCTACCTTTTCTACGCGGGGGTGCAGCTCCCCGTGGAGGAATATGCCGGAATTCAGATTCTTCTGCGCGCCGTTGCAGAGATTCTTGTCCTCTCGCATAATGGTCTTGAAGAAGTCGCTGACCTCGGTGAATTCAGCGTCCGTGGCGTCGTCGTGTCTGTACACCTCGTACTCCATGTGCGTTTGGGTCGCGGACATGGGTACGCAGCGCTGAATGAAGAAGAAGTGCGGTCTGTGGCAGGCGATTACCGTTAGTAAGGTTGCTCACATGTTGTTCGCCAAAGTCGATCACGTACGTTACCGTCATCGAGGCATTGGGGTACAAGTATGTGCTCACGTTGCCTAAACTTTTCGACTCTTCGTCTTGTCTGTCAACTGCATAGTGTTGGATGTGAGCTCCCGATGTCTCAACCCAGTATTTGGCCAAGTCTGTGACGGCGGGAAGTGCAGGATGCCCCGTAGGGCAATGGTAACACTTTTTTGTGCATGTGAGTTTATATCCATCTTCTTTGCATTCTTTTGCTGTACCACTGCGGCCACGTACCTCGTTGTAGTTGTCTGCGAGCACCTTCCAGTTGTAGTCCCCGGTCATTTCCCACTCGTGATCGAAATGGTACTTGTTCATGTCAAACTCCAACAACCGTGGTTGAAAGTCGACTGTAGCAAAGTCCTGTTCCCAAGGAACCGAGGGTGTATCGTTTGCGTCAAGATTTACCCAGACGAAGCCCAGGTTATCGACATGCACATGCACGCGGTACAACCCATTGTCTTCCTTCTTGAACGAAGAAATTTCCTGATATTTAGGTGCCTTGGCCAAGTGGCCGTCAAAACCATACGACCAGCCTTTACAGAATAGTTAGAAACTCTGAATACAAGCGTTCCATGGCCAATCTAGTGTCTCACCATGGTATTTGCATGCCAAAACGGATGCCTTGCCAGAGTCCTTCTCGACAATGGGATAGGCGCGGTGCCTGCAAATGTTGTGATGCGCCCGAATTTGGCCCTGGCGGTCTCTAATCAAAAAGAACGTATAGCCAGCCTCTGTTATTCGCACAAAGTGGCCAATGTCCGGAAATCGCAATACATGGGTAACGAGCAACCACTTCTTGGAAAAGATGGCTCGCCTCTCAAGCTCATACATGGCAGGGGACGTGTACCATGCTGCCGGTAAAGCTTGTCCCGTTTTCGGTTCCTCGTCACACTTCGTTGTGCTCTGCCCAAAACCGAGCCAGCTCATTGTGCGCTTGGAATTCCGATGCTTGGTTATGAAGTTGGATGAATAGTAAAGCGCTGCGACTTGAGCACGACGGTATAGCTGCAGCTGAAGAATACGTCGTGAAAACTCTATTATACCCAGACATTGCCCTTCCACACCACGGCATCACTCACCGCGATGCCGTTCTCAGTGCCCAGACCCTCGGTAGCCCTCGATGACATTCAACACGTATGAGCCGGAATCCGGACCGCACCCGTACCCATACTTGATGGCCCTTGTTTCAGTCCTCCGTGCCCACACCAGCAACATTACTGGACAAGGCGGACGCCACAGAAGCAGGAGCACAAGTCGTGCATTGTACAGACAACGAGGCGGTGGGCCTTGAACGAGGGGGCAGCCGACAACTTAAAAAGACTTTGGACGTACAGTTACTCATGGAGCTCATGAGCAACCATACTACGTGGCGTGGCCGATAGTCTGCTATTCGACGACAAACTACACGACAGCAAATTAAAAAAAAATGGTGTCCGAAAGCCACCCCTCCAAATCAGATGCCGTCGTCGTTATTGGTGCTGGTGTGTTTGGCCTCTCAACGGCCCTGGAGCTTACCACGCGAGGGTACACCAACGTCACCGTCCTGGATCGTTACCTGCCCCCCGCGGTAGATGGGAGCAGCGTTGACATTTCCCGCATCATCAGATTCGACTACGGAGACGCTTTCTACAGCAAGTTGGCCAGGGAGGCCGTCCAACTCTGGGCCACCGAGTACCCCGACCACTACCACCAAGCCGGATTTCTCATGCTCAATGAGAAGGGGGGGTTTGAGTACACGGCCAAGTCAAAGCAGGTCGATGAGCAGCTGGGCAAAACCATCGAGGAGTATGCTGATGCCACTCGGATGCGCTCGATACGCCCGGGCATACCCGGCAAGCTGGAAGGAATGAGCGCCTATTACAACCCAAAAGGGGGATGGGCAGACGCAGCTTCGAGTATTGCGCAGCTAGCCGCTCGCTGCAGCCTCGCGGGTGTCTCATTTGTTACCGGCGCAAGAGGCACCGCCGCGTCTCTGGTGTATCAGGAGTCCAGGGTTGTCGGGGTCAAGGTTGTGCGAGGCCCTCCGATTCGGGCATCTCTCGTCATCCTCGCCACGGGAGCATGGACAAACCACCTGCTGCCCGTGGGACACGCCAGCTCGGCGTCAGCGCAGCCCGTTGGGTTTATCCAGTTGACAGAAGGAGAAGCCGCGCGCTTGAGAAACATGCCCGTCATGATCAATTCCAATAAGGGGGTGTTTGTTTTCCCGCCCACTCCCGGCTCGAATATCCTCAAGGTGGCTCGCCACGGTTGGGGATATGCCACTGAGGAGAGGGTTGACGATGGACATTCGCCAGCGAGGGTCGTTTCGTGCCCGCGGCGCGACGGCAACAACGCACGTAGTTCCTATATGCCGGAGGATGCGCAACAAGGACTGAGGGATGGACTGAGAGACCTTGTTCCGGAATTTGCTGAGCGGCCTTGGTCCCGGCTGCGCCTCTGCTGGTATTCGGATACGCCCGAAGGGGATTTCATTGCCGATAAACATCCTCATGTTCAAGGACTCTTTATTGCTACAGGTGGTTCAGGACAGTATGTGCTTTCAACGCTTGGCTTGAACGACTCTTGACTAGTTTGTTACTAACGTGCATCTAGTGGTTTCAAATTTCTTCCTGTTCTTGGCAAGTATATTGTAGATTGTTTGGAGAATAAAGCAGGCAAAGAATTAAGATGGAAGTGGAGGTATAGACTGCCTTCCGGGGCAGACGATATAGTCAAAATAGGAGATGGAAGTAGAGGAGGGCCGCCTTTGAGACTTCTCACTGCCGAAGAACAAGCCAAACTATAGAGCTGCGGTGTCTTGGTCGGTTTTGATACTCTAGTGTTCTTTGATAGCCCAGGTCTTGTTCGTAAGACCAGGCAAGCTTCGATCCCCAGCTGCTATGCATCGTATAGATGGAGCATTCATAGTCATTCAATCGCTTCTCTCGTGCCACTTGCATGAATTGTCGGAGAAGAGACTATTTCCTGTTTCCGTATTTCGAGTATGCGTATGCAGCACGCAGCGAGGCCACCCTGTCGTACACCAGCTTTCACTGATGCCAGTCCCCTCGTCGGGCACAAGTGTGCGTATCGCTGTATCGCCAGGCACATCTCACGGCCGGGGCATCCGGATCAAGACCGGCAATACTAGAGGCGGCGCTGGGTGTAACAGTAGCCCAGCTGAGCTGCTCTTGAGCTGAGCCCGAACCCCATGCTCCCTTCTGCCAGTCGTAGGGCGCTGGCCTGGCCACCTACGTGGTCACATGGACTATTCACCAGACCGCTCTGTGGCGCCGTCTTGCCGCTGGCCCAACTAGTCGGTACAGGATTGGCACGAGTCTGGACCAGAGTCGACACGGCACGGAAATGTATCCGGTCCGGACGGTCCGCCTCCTCTCACCACCCTTCAGATGATGGACCAGGCCGACGTTCGTAGTTGCCTCAGCAGCAATCTATCTTGGGATGAACATGTTGACCAAATAGTCGTGTTAAAAAATCCTATTCTCCTACGGCATGCAAACTTGAAGAAAATGGACAGCACTGAAGGCTCGTCAGCTCGGCGCCTCAGATGCACTATTATTGGTGCAGGGTAAGTCCGATGTCGTCATGTCCAACATCTTGATACAAGCCTCTAAACATCAATACTATAGAGTTTCGGGGATTTTGATGGGTAATTAGATCAGTTCGACTCTGTTGATGGAATCTAGTATCCTTGCTAACCTCTCTTAGCCTGTAAAATTCGGATGCATTTAGCAGCATTTGTCGATTTTCAGATACTGGAAAAGAATTCCGAACTGGGAGGAACTTGGCAAGAAAACCGATACCCAGGTAGCGTATTTACGCCTCTGTTCTGCGTATAATTTTGTCGACTTGCTCAAACTCCATAGGCTGCGCATGCGACGTCCCAAGCCACTGCTACCAATTCTCCTTTGCACCAAATCCAGACTGGTCCCGGATGTTAGTTGCAATTTTGCTCTCTGCCCCCGAAATCTATGCCGCTGACCAGCCAGGTATGCATCTTCGTTTGAGATTAAAAACTATCTCAAAGCAGTTGCCAGGCGATTCCGTCTGGACGAAAGCATATCGTATAACCGCAAAGTGGTGTCGGCAACCTGGTCTGACGACACAAGCACCTGGACTGTCCAGACGAGCCATGGAGACACTATAGAGTCCGAAATTCTCGTCAACGCAGGGGGCATCTTGAACAACCCACAAATGCCAAACATAGAGGGTCTGGATACATTTACCGGGCCAACTGTACACACTGCCGCGTGGGACTCGTCCGTCCATCTTGAGGGCAAGACCGTTGCCATCATTGGATCTGGCGCAAGCTCCATCCAAGTGCTTCCTCAGCTCCAGGCCAAGTGCAAGCATATCAACGTGTATATCCGCACGCCGTCTTGGATCTGCCCGCCGGTTGTTGTACCCAATGCCGGCAACAGCAATTACACCTACCAAGACGAGGAGAGGGAATTGTTCAGGGAGGATGAAGGACATTACATCCACTTGCGGAAAGACATCGAATCGCGGTTTAATAGCATGTTTGGTGCATTTTTCAAGCTAAACCCAGAGCAACAGGATATGCGGAATCGATTTGAAGCGCGCATGAGATGTATTATAAAAGATGAGGAGCTGCAAAGGCGACTTATCCCGTCCTTTGAGGCTGGATGCCGCCGTATCAACCCGGGGGAGCAGTACCTTATTTCCATCCAGGAACCCAATGTTGAGCCTGTTTTTGACCCAATTCAACGGGTGACACCAACCGGCATCGTTGCGGGAGGAGTGGACTATCCGGCCGATGTCATAGTCGCGGCAACAGGGTTCAATACAAGTTTCCGACCGAGGTTCCCCATCATCGGCCGGAAAGGACTCAACTTACAGGATATATGGGGGAAGGATCCAATCTCGTACTTTGGAACCGGTGTCTCTGGCTTCCCAAACTATCTCGTCTACTTGGGCCCGAATACACCCATTTCCAATGGCAGCCTCATGGGTAAGATTTCACACTCTCCCCCCTTGGAGCGAAGCACCTCACACTTATTCTCTATGTAGGGCCGTTGGAAGCAACAAGTGACTACTTTATTCGTCTTCTCCAACGAATGATTAGACATGGCGCGCTCGCCTTTGACGTACACCCAGGTGCGCAAGAAGATTTTGACAAGCACACCAAGAGTTTCATGAAAGGAATGGTGTGGACGGGCACATGCCGCAGCTGGTGTGAGTTGGCATGCTCGATTATTTGGCCTTGGCGCAAGTCTGACAAGACGCAGTTAAGCGGGCAGACGACGGCAAGGTGACGGCTCTGTGGCCAGGAAGCTCGCTCCATTACATGCAGTGCCTTGCCGAGGACCGATGGGAAGATTACGAATGGAGGTACGACAGGGAGCGCTTTGCGTACTGGAAAAATGGCTTCTCTTGGATCGAGAGACCTGGCGCGGATCAAATGGGGCTGCAAGCACAGCGGTCAATGGAAGCCATGACGACTCTGCCGCGCAGCACGTCGGATTTGGCCTTTTACATAGGCAAGGCGGAAAACCTCTCGCCGTGGGAAATGTCATCAAACGGCGAGAGTCCTGTTGACAGCATCGAGAACATCAAGTCTGCCGAGGCAAAGAGCCTGGGAGAGCACGATGGTCTCGCTAGAGACGAGGAGGTAGCTGCTGCTGCGGACCACTTTTGTATCACGGTCCCAGTTTAGGGGTCTTGCGTGCAGAGGTTTTATATAACTACATGTCAATAGAACAAGGATGAGAGCCGTGGGCGGCTGTGAGACGTGCACGACGTTGAGCATCTGGTCAAGTCCCCGATGGCGCGGCTGTTGTACAGCGGATGGAACTCGACAAAGATGCTCAAGCTGTGACTAGAATGCCAGCCTGCCCTCTGCATTCCGCTCCGTGGTGCACTCCGACGAATCAATTGATGTTTCCGTTATGCGGCGCCACTCGGCTTTCATCCCGGCCCCGACCCGTGATCGGGCCGCGCAGACCGTACTCGTACTCTCGCCCTCCACACACGAGTTGGACATCGCAGCTGATGAAAAGGAAGCGCAGTAATCTTATGCGTTGAACGCCCGGACTCATCAGTGACACGACATTCATTGAATTATTTATTCACAATGGCGCAATCCGTTCAATGCTACTATTTATCCCCCAATTCCGACGCACCAAACAACCCGTTGCCGGTGCTGCACTATCGCGGGGTCCTGCCTCTGGAGGCGACAGAAGACATGGCCACCAAGTTTCTGACCGCCAACACTTGGGAAAAGCGAGTATGCGACTGAGAAGGGGGACTCGTGGTTTATGCCATGCCAGCACCGCTAATACCTGCCGGCCAGGGCGCCTGGGGACACATTGGCATCCGCCATTTCCATCCAAACACGCACGAGTGTTATGGTACGGTCGTCTCGACTCTTGCAGCGGAAGACGTTGGTCGTCTAATCTTGGCAGGAATCGTCAGCGGCCGCTCTACAATGCTTCTCGGCAAGATAAACGACGGCACGGGCGTGCATGTCCAGGTGCAAAGGGGAGACGTCATTGTGCTTCCCGCCGGCACCGCACACTCCAGCATCGAGAGCACGCCTGATTACTTCTACATTGGCGTCTATCCGCGCGTACGTTCCACTGCGTGGCGGACGTTGTCGCGAGTTGCTCATGGTGCTGACAAGTTCGACAGCGCCATCCGAGGTGGGTAAACGAGCACGGCAAAACCCCAGCGACGCACTTTCGATCCACGATTCGGGCTGTCGAGATGCCCGAGGAGGATCCGGTATATGGAAAGGACGGGCCGCTTTTGAAGCTGTGGCGCCCTCGGGACCTGGCGAGGCTGTAGTCTAGGGGTCTGGTGCGGCACAGAATCCTTGGTGATGGACGCATGTTGTCAATGGATTAAGACGCCCGTGCCGCTTGCATTCAACATGCTAACAAACTTGTTTGGTATCCCCCATGATGAGCTGTAGACAAAGCACGACCAAATGCATCGTTATTTACATCATGCCGTTGCTGCCAGCGTTCCAAAAGAAGCCGGGGTTGAGGAACTGCTCAATATCAAAGTACTGGAGGTTGGAAAAGTCCATCGGGAACCCATCCATCCACTCTGTTCCATCCGACAGCGTCGGAGACGTTTCCGAAACCACGTCTACCGGGTTTGCCGGACACAGCTTCAAGATGTCGCTTAGGGCGGAGGCGAACATCTCTTTACCCCTCTGGTGCAGCAGCACGAGTGAGCGAGCCGTCTTTAACGCATCTTCCGTAGCTTTGGTGTTGTACACGGCCGAGATGTCTTTCAGACACTGCATGGCATCTCTGAGCTGGGAGATGGACGAAACGGTATCTATGGCCAGCAGGACACAGACAATCTGAAACGGGACGTAGGCCATGTGATGCCAGGGCGCGCGAGCAGCCAGGATAGCCTGCGCGGCTTGGATACCATTCGTCGTCAGCACTAATATCTTTTGAAGAATGGACTCGGTAAGCGAGACTTCCAGCGATCGTAGTCGGCGGCAGAGACAGAGCGCCAGGTTGCATTGAGCAAGAACCGTGGGGGGGATCGAGTGCGCGCGGCTGAGCACCGTGTGCAGTGCCGTCTCGAGTTCCGCCGCCGTCGGCTTTCTCTCCGGATCCAATTCTATCGAGAATGGCAGCAGCTCGCTTATTTCGTACGTGTAATCGCCTGGCCGTGGCGTGGGCAGCATCGTGATGGCGATATTGGACAAGGAGACGCGCGTGAGGCCCATGTCGAATGACATCCAAATGTTGAGGTGCTGCGCGACCAGGACGATTCTTCGTGCGGTTTCAGAGTCAACCTCTTGCCGCGTCGAGGGAAGAGCAGACTCGCTCGAGGATTCGACCGTCAGGCCGGCTGCCTCAATCATGTGCATCACCATGCTGCTTGCCATCCAGGCTTCGTAGTGTGTTCCGGCGACTCTGAGGTACACGACACGAAGCAGCCAGGCCGTGATGCTCGTTACCGTTGCCGGCGTGGACATGGATTGCTCCAGGAGTATCCTTGCCGACTCGACGAGGTCGAGCTCAGCCTGGTCTGAGTGGACTCGAGAGAAGAGACAGCCGAGGGCGGCAATCCCGCACAACACTGCGTCTGAAGCTTGCTGAACCATCTGTGCCGTCCATCTCAGTTGGATATGCCGTGTCACTTCGTGGCGGTCGATGAATCCGTATATCGGATCCACCTGCTGGAAATAGACGGTTGCAAGTTCCTGCATCCTCTGCAGGGACAGCAACTCAGTAATGGCGTGGTAGACGGGTATGCGTTTTGCCTGGCGGGATCCGAGAAATGCGTTCCAGGCAAACGTGTGCATCCGTGGGTTCTTCTTGGGGTCCAGCCGCAACGCCAGCTTTCGGACAAAGGCAGATCCAGAGTTGGCTTCCAGCGAACGAGCCTGATTGTGCGGCGGGACCCCCGAGGTCGATTGCGCCGCCTCTTCGGGAGACGCTTGCGCGCTCATCAGACGCACCGCCGCCGGCGTTGGAGGTTTGATGGCCGGCGCCGTGTGCTCCAGACTCTGCGGCCGGCGGCCCTTTCTTGTCTTGCCCTCGTGGTATATACACTCATACTCGAACCGCACGCACGTGCCACACGGCCGGGCGCCATCACACCTGCGCTTGAGGTCTCGGCATGTCTGGCATGCAAGCCGGGAGCGCTTCCGCCCCGTGGTCGACGGAGTCATGAGAGCCAGGAAGCCTTTGGCCAGTATGATTGCCCGCCAGAGCCTCCAAATGGGGAGAGACAAGTGGCACAGTGGCCCAATGATATGAGACGGGAACAACGGGTTATGTGAGGTGCATCAGAGAGGCGTGGTCGACAAGGCTGAAGCCGAGGGAACAAGGATGCACCAAGCCGGACCTTGGAAGACGTCGGGTGAGAATGGCGATGCGGGCATCAGACGACGGCCGAATTGGGCCTAGCGCCGGCGGCAAGAGCGGCAATAGCGGGAAACGACTCTCATCGCTCGCGCCGAGGAGCCCAGGCGCAGAATTGCCAGGCAACGCGGGCATAGGAGATGAATAATGTCGGTTTTTGTTCGCCCGCGATGGAGAATTCCGGACCATGTTGATCGTCGTCGACTGTGGTTTAAAAAGCCAAGCCTCTGCACCCTTCACCCCCTCCCACGCCGTGTGGCCGTGTAACACGACTGCATCACCACATCACATTTGCGTATTGGCGACACAACCACTCACAAACAAACAAGAGCGTCACAAACCGCTGCCGGTACCAACCAGAGCCCTGTGCTACGTCACGAGATGCAGCCACCAAAAGAAACCTACCCCGCGACCGATGTGCGCATACAGAGCGATATAGAGACAGACAAGGCTGGCTTGAGTGATCAGGAATCGCCTGCCAAGCCCTCCGCACCGCCAGATGGAGGCGCCACTGCTTGGCTTCATGTCGTCTTGATGCACATTGTCTTCTTCAATACGTGGGGTGTGGCCAATGGATATGGCGTCTTCCAGGAATACTACTCTCGCACCCTGGGGGAGACGGAATCCTCCATCGCCTGGGTCGGGAGCGTCCAGGTCTTCTTCTTGTTTGCCATTGGCGTGGCCGCAGGCCGAGTGACGGACGCTGGCCATTTCCGCGTCACCTTTACGATCGGCGTGTTTCTGCAGCTGTTGGGGTTGTTCATGACTTCGCTGTGCACGACGTACTGGCAGATCTTTCTTGCGCAGGCCGTCTGCCTCGGCATCGGCAACGGGTGTACGTTTTGTCCCGCGCTGTCGATTCTTTCGCAGTACTTTCAAAAATATCGTGCTTTTGCAGTTGGCCTTGCGGCGGCCGGAGCGGCAGTTGGGGGTCTGGTGTATCCCGTCTTGATTCACTGGCTCATCTTCCACGATGATTTCGGCTTCCCCTGGACCCTGCGCATCATGGGCTTCATCATGCTGGCGACCTATCTCCCCTGCATATTCTTATTCAAGCCCCGTCTGCCGCCCAGAAAGTCGGGCGACTGGACAGACAAGTCGGCGTTTACCGATGTTCCCTTTATATTCTTCTCATTGAGCATGTTTTTCAATTTCTGGGGGCTGTATTTGGCCTTTTTTTACCTGGGGACCTTTGCCCGCGACAAGATCGGCATCAGCGAGCCCATCTATTTACTCATGGTTCTCAATGGCGTCGGCATCATTGGACGTATTGCCCCGACCATTGTTGCTGATAAATGGGTTGGAATGTTGAACATGTTGATCCCAATCAGCTTTGCTGCTAGCTTGCTCGTCTACTGCTGGGCTGCCGTCAGCTCAGCGGCCGGACTCTACGTATTCGCAGTCATATATGGCCTGCTTGCGGCGGCGTTGCAGGCCCTCTTCCCAGCTGTTGCCACGACCATGACTCCAGACCCGAGTCGAACCGGTACCAGAGTGGGCATGATTCTCGGTTTTGTCAGCTTCGCCAACTTGACGGGGCCGGCCATATGTGGTGCAATCCTTCAAAAACAGGGGGGAGATTATATGGGTGCACAAATGTTCGGGGCGTCGTCGATTTTTCTTGGCGCGACCATGGCACTGGCCGCGAGAATTGCCAAGGCTGGGACAGATTTGAAAAGAAAAGTATAGACGCGTACGAACAATTCATAACATTCATAACACTATAGACCTTGTAGAGCAGCCGCAGACAACGTTGGAGGGCATGTTCGCGGCTCTCAGTACAGATGTAGAATAGAACTGAAGAAGCTGACGCCAAAATACAAGGATGGATTTTCCTTCGTCTTGTTTGAGCCGTCATTGAGTGGAACGCTAGACCGAGAGTTTGGCGGCTTGATCAATTTGGTCGGGTTCATGTTGCACGCCCGCGAGGGCATCCCGGCCATAAAACTTTTAGCTTTTGGGATGCCAACTGCACACACCCTACCGAGGGTTCGGCCAGGTCGGGAATCGATACACCATATCCACTTGGATCGATGAGCGACGAAAAAGTCCCGAAGTGCAACAACGGTCGCCTTGACAAGGGCGCGGGCCAACCCGCGTGTTACAAGAGTGGCGAACCATTCCACGGCCATTTGACCCGGAGTCGCAATGTAGTCCAATTCTCGGTTTCACCTGATGGAAAGACAATATGTAGTCAATAGGGGCTTTGATAGAGAACAAGGCAGGTACGAGATTACATTGGTGATATCTTGTCGCGATAAGTCTTCTGAGTCGTAGCATGCGTCAACGTTCACTTATGAATCGGAACGTTAGGCGAGAGTACATTGCACTATGCCAATACTATTTCCAACATCAGATATGAACTAGATCCTGGCAGATAGTTTCACGGGTCAAATTCTAACCCGCCTAACCGAGATTCTTCTGAGGCAATGGGATATTGGCTTGACAAGTTAGGTGTTACACGGAAATCGCAGGTTACACAAGGGCTACAGTCACAGGACCCAGGGCAGAAGGTCCTTACTGACTTCTTATATAAATAGACGTTTTTAGTCCCTTAAGGCCTTAAGGAAAATTAAGGACCTTTAATACTAAAGACTGTTATTAGTCGAATTAAGCTAAATTGCTCTAAGCCCTCTTTCCGAGCCCTTGTTCTATTACGTCAAGTATAAAGCTACTAACTAGCTAATATCACACAAGGGAGTGGAATTATCAAGCTAAGTATATAGTGTAAGTAATGCTTCCTTCTTGCGAGAAACCGCAGTAAGCTATTCGCAAACATTGCTTTGGGCACCTCGGTACTATGTCATTACTTGTCTCAGGCTGATTAGACTATTGCATAAATAGGGTTGTCTCTTGCTCGTGTAAAATCCAACTTGCTAACTTCCTCGCAATATGTAAATTAATTATAGTAACAACTATAGTAGGAGGTGCTGCTCAGGTCAGATTATTATGCAGGCTCCACCCAAGGCTATGCGCATTATCCAAGTTGAACGAATTGTAGGGCCTCGTACATAACTGTTAGCTATCGATATAGCCCTTTTTGCGCGCTGTCGCATAGTAGCGCCGTGGGTGAGGATTTTGTGGTACAATAATGCTTGCATTAGGAAGACTAAAGTTAATTAATACCGATTATTTAATCCCTTGTTGCGTATAAGCTCTACGAAAGAACATGACTTAAAGCTCCTTTTTAAGTGAAACGGCATATAGAACTACGTATAATGCTTACTAACTATTAGTAAAGAAATACATAGGGAGATATGGAAATATTTGCACTAAGGAAAGCTATAAAAGAATACTATCGCCTTGTAATAAGGGCTTAATAGAGGGCTTAGAGCAATTTAGCTTAATTGAACTAATAATAGTTTTTAGTATTAAAGGTTCTTAGTTTTCCTTAAAATTTTAAGGGTCTAAAAATATTTATTTATATAAAATATTAGTAAAAGCCCTTTACCTTAAGTCCCGTGACCGTAGCCCTTATGTACCAGCCATTTCCGTGTAACACGCCTTCACCTAGTCTCTTTAAATCATTATCACGTACTACTACAATTAGCATCTGGTACTCTTTCACAGTTAACGACCACTGCTATATACAGTCTCAACATTTTTGTTCTATAAATTTCGAAGACATTCACCATGAAGACCGGACCTATTGGCCTCTCTCTAGCCGCGTTGACCGTGGCCATGCCATTTGTTAGTCGGAGACTAGAACAACGCCTCCCTAGCGTAGACGACGATTTTGATCAGAACATATTGACATTATATTAAAGAATATAAGCTCTGCCGTTAACTGATCTGAGGTGTACTCAAGAATTCTCATATATACAACGACAACAGTGACTGGGGTGGCATATGTAGCCGTATCACCCTTATCCAGGATACAGAATGCATTACCGAGCAGTTCCGGGACAAGGACAATCGCAAGGTAAATCATGTAAAATGCTTCTCCCAGGTTAACGAATGCGGCGAAGACCTGCGCTTCCAACAAAAACAAGATCCATACAGATTGCAAAAAAGCAGCGATCGCTACCTACTCTGAAGATGAAAATACCTCGACGACTCCCGGGCGGAGCCCCTCCAACAGTCTGCCTCCTGGCCAAGATAAAGCCAAGAAGACCGCCAATAAGCCACCGACATCTTTCAATGCAAGGCGCCAAAGCTTCTGGATGCGTGTGGCTCGCACTATTTGCTTCAGCATCCAAAAAGCCTTAAGAACTCTGGCAAGGCCCCCTAAGCTATCGCCTAACAGCTTGACTCAACGACCCGGCGGCCTAGTCTGCTGGTTCATGAACAGTCAACTGTATTCTACAAAATTCTTTTTTAGTGTTCAAAAGTCTCCTCGCAGAGATTAGATTTCTGCGTAACAAGCCAGCCAAGTCCAATAGCTAGCCCGGCTTGCACTCCATTTCCGAGATTAGTTGTGTCAAGATGGTCGCCTTGTCTAAATTTACATTTGCTTCGGATTATAGTAGTTGCTTATTCAGCTATCAATATACTTACTTGGACTGATCCCAGTATTTGTGACTGGTGTTTTCTGTTTGTAGTGGTTCCTGAACTTAATTATTATTCTAGGCTATTAACCCAGTGCAGCTTGTTACATTCCAAGTGTGTGAGTTTGGACGGATGAAGATGTTATGCGGATAGAATAGCGTGCCGTCACGATGCGTAGACAGTCTACTTTTCTAGTCTCTTACTGTCCTTGGCCTGGTACAGCCCAATACTGTTTCAGATTTTATGCTTGCACGATACTTATATCATGCGTGTAATTTCATTTGACTACAGAGCAAAATACCCAAAAATTAATAGAATAGCATGCTAAATGTTACATTTTATAGAGGAGAAATAGAAGTCATAAGAGAAGAAATATACAATACATTAAGTTCGCCTCTTTTCTTTTAGTACATGACAGATTTGCCTCTTGCCAAGGCGAGGGGTCTTGGAGCAAGCCTGCTGCGAATGTGTAAAATAGGATATTCTAGCGTTTGCCAGTTGTATTTGTGTTCTTCAGAGTAGCCATTTTATTGCTCTCATATTTAATCAAGTCACTACATTAAACGTAGACATAGTTGTAGACCTTGTACAGCAAGCTTTTGTCACAGTTAGTCCAGATGGCAATACGTCTAATATAGTAGGCGGTTATTTGGATTTACTAGACACAGTATCAGGGAATGCTCTATGACCTGTAAGTATGTATAGGCCGTATTGATATGAGAGTGAGAAGACTAGAAAGAATTGCCCTTCGAACCAGAACCACTATTGAACCCAAAAGGATCATTTGATCCAGAACCATCATTCGATCCAGCACCATTCGACCCAGAACCACCATTCGATCCAGAAGGACCATTCAATCCAGAATCACCATTGAATCCGGAATCACCATTTGACCCAGAACCACCGTTTGGAATAAACGGAACAATAATAGCATCCAATCCATCTAATCCAGAACCGCCGTTTGATCCTGAACCGCCATTTGATCCAGAACCACCATTCGAACCAGAGCCACCATTTGATCCAGAACCACCATTCGAACCAGAGCCACCATTTGAACCAGAACCGTCATTCGACCCAGAGCCGCCATTTGAACCAGTACCGTCGTTTGAACCAGAGCCGCCATTCGAACCAGAGCCGTCATTCGACCCAGAACCGTCATTTGAACCGGAGCCGCCGCCATTTGAACCAGAGCCGCCTCCATTTGAACCGGAACCGCCGCCATTTGAACAGATTTGAACCAGAACCGTCATTCGACCCAGAGCCGCCATTTGAACCAGTACCGTCGTTTGAACCAGAGCCGCCATTCGAACCAGAGCCGTCATTCGACCCAGAACCGTCATTTGAACCGGAGCCGCCGCCATTTGAACCAGAGCCGCCTCCATTTGAACCGGAACCGCCATTCGAACCAGAAGTACCGTTTGATCCAGAAGGACCTATGATTGGCTCAATAAAGTCCAGAATATATGCACCCAGTCTGGTGTAGACGCCAGGATTGTTGGGTCTGGCACAACCGTTGCCAAATGACACGACGCCAATCAAAATTCCTTGTGAATCAATTATTGGACCACCACTGTCTCCCTGGCAAGCATCTTTGCCACCTTCTGGTAGACCGGCGCAAAACATATTCTCAGTCACTAACCCCTTTCCAAGTAATTCCCGGCAATTAGCACGGCTTATTACCGGGAACGCAGCTGTTAGCAATGTATCAGAAGGTTGTCCACCTTCTGTCGTTGCTCCCCTAGAATCATGGTCAGAATCCTTTTTCGACAGGGGCGGACAAATGATTTGCTACAACACGTACCAGCCATGTACGCTTGCCTGAGATCCCGGTGCAGGGTCAGAGCCATTCGCCGGCAAGCGGGCCAATTCAATGTCTACTGGTTTTTCTAGCTGCAAGATAGCAACATCATTGTCGATTTTCTGGAGATCAAAATTGGGGTGAACGAAGATCCTAGATACTTGAACCTCGGTGCCACCTTTTGATGGAGACTATAGAGCGTGCGTCAGAGATATCACGCCCGAGTAAGAGACGCAGGGACCAGAGCCACCATGTCAACAAGTTCATTTCGGAACAACTAGACATGTAGTCGTGGAAAAATAACTTACTAGCGATCCGGCGCGAACGCTTAAACCTTTAGCCGTCTTAAGTTCACTGACACAATGAGCCGCCGTGACGACAAAATTGTTGCGCACAAGTGAGCCGCCGCAAAAGAATCGTGGCCCCTCCTGCGGTACCCCCTGCCTCTTCTGCGGTACCTCTCTCTGCAGAGCAACAATAGAAGGAACCTGTTTCCCGTCGTCTTTTGACCCGCCGACGACATTGATAGAAGCATCTGCCGGTCGTGCAATAGCCATTTGAACTGCCGACGCCGCAAGGGCGACCGCAAACACACTGGAAACCATTTGGGCGATGGAGAGAATTCAGAATACAAATAGTATAAGAGTTTGCTGTTTTACACAACGGCACGAACATTCTGGTCACGGAGCTGCGCTGACCGGACTTATATATCACTCGCGCCTCACTTGAAACCATCAATGAACCATTGCTCATCGCCCGCCGTCTCAAGATAGTCACGCAGCTAGATACCTCGGAACGAGTGAGGTGCACACCGTGCATGTCAATCTTGTAAACAAGCTTAAAACTTGTACAGATCATGCAGGGATCTCGGCGGCAAGGCAGTATTAGAAGCAGGCCATTTATAAAACGGCATTTGTGTCAAGAGACAATGTGATGCGAGGTCCACCACCCCCTGGCCAGCGATCCCTGTTGCGCATCGCTTTAAGGAGTCAGTATTCTATCTCTTTACATGTAGCCGTTGGCAACAAGTGGACGTGCTACTTTGCCAAGCAGGGCGCCTGCAAGTCCGAGCGTGATCTGGCGACGCACTCGTACGTGCGGCTATTGAATGCAGTCGACATCTCCGTTTCGGTACAAGCATCCATTGGCTTGGCGCTCGGGTATCGAGCGGCTAGTATTGCTCGGAGCTGAAACCTGGGGCTGCCGAGTCTCGTTGCTGTTCATGCATCATCCGCCGTCATGGACCGTATCAGTCAGTGGCCCTGTACCAATAGGCGACATCAGCCTCAGCTGGCTATGTACAGGTTACTTGTCATGATGGGTGGTGTACATAGGTGGCAACACCTTGTATCGGTTCGTCAGGAATAATGCAGATGCCTGTGAAACCGACGTGACACGCGTCATCCGGTCTGTACGAATATGCAATCTTCACCATGACTAGAAGCACCAGACCTGTCAAGCAACGTGGGCTGCTGGTGATGGATAGGCTGGCTACGCAGAGACTACCGGACATATATAGGGTTTCGCCTGGGTATGACTGTGCTACAACCAATCAAGTTCCATCAAATAGTTTCAATGTTTTTACAGAAGGAAGCATTTAAGACACAACATTGAATCGCTTGTCCAGTCTAGCATCCCGAGGTCCAAAAAGAGGGAATGCCACTAAACGACGCCAGAAAATCATAGCACGCTCTAAGCTGTCTTATTACCAAGCATGGTTATTCAAGCGCGCAGCCGGTAAATGGACTGACAAGTGTGTTCAAATGCTCGTTTAGGCCCTTTGGAGGATGACTCGTGGCAACCATGATGAAACGGTCCGGTTGGTACCAGTTGACGCCAACCTTCTATTTCAAGGTGGCTGATGCTGCCAAGACGCTCCCGGCAGCGGCATGAACACACTTGACTCGGGTACACACTTCGGCCTTTTGCTGTCGGCGGTGGCTTCCAGTTAGAGCTGGTCAATGGTTCAATGTTGTGTCGTGGATAACAATAACTAGGCAGCCACAGAGACTCAGAGACTAAAAATTGCACTCCTCCTTTTGCCATGCGGATACACAATGAGCGCCGACATGAACAGGCCAACCGAGATCCCAATAGCCGTCTGTATCATGCCGTAGCCCAGAGCAGTCAGCGAGTTTGAGTTGGCCGCCCCCGTCGTGCCGGGGACAGTGACATTATGCGTAATGGACTCTGAAAAGTCGAGCCCCGAGATGATGGAGCCCGAAGACGCGAGGCCCGACGGCACGAGGGTAAAAATACCTGGAATCATCGTGGCCGCAGCATGCCCGTGCCAGATGCGGCTGTACAAATGGGCCATGAGCCCAATGGTAAAGGCCCCGACCGTGTTGGCGACCTGGTTCGGACCGAGCTTGGTGGTGCTAAAGTAATTCGTCACGTAGCCGCAGACGCCCATCCCAACCGTGACGGGCAGCTGCTTCAGCCGGGACTGGTTTGTCAGGGCGGCAAATAAGCAGAAGAGCGCAACAAACGGAAAGTGCTGGACATATTGGCTCCCGTACGCCGCTTCAAGACTATCTGCCGTGCACTGCGTCTGCGTGGTCGCGTTGGGATCCATCAAGCCGTAGATTGTCGTTCCCACGGTCACGCCGTAGCCCAGGAAGAGAGAGTAGATGATTGTATACACGAGCCGGATGGAGCCGGCATTCATCTGGTGGGATTGCAGCTCCAGGCTGCTGCTCAGAACTGCAAACCCGGGGAGGATCATGGCAATGGCAGACTGCGCAATGGCCGGGAAGCAAAAGAGGTACGTACCGTTGTGTTTGATGCTCCCGAACGCCCGTGCCAAAAAGGACGTCAATATGGCGGCCGACACTTCCAAAACGTTGGCATACGTCGACGACGCCGGCGCGACAACCTGCTGCATGAAGCCGACGAGCAGGCCGAGCACGAAGATGACGGGCAAGTCGATTGGGCGGGCGGAAAACGCATACGGTCCGACGGAGACGCTGGCCAGCGCCATGAAGAGGATGACGAGCCATTTATTGTAGCGGGCAGTGGACGTCATGATGTCGTCCAGCTCCTCGGTGGCTTGTTCCAGAGAGATCACGTCATGGACTACATTCTTATACACGTTGTGTGTGGCAGCCAGTCGGGACAAATCCAGGCCTTGCACCACGCGGATGATTTTGACATCGGCAGTCCTCGTAAGCGCGTCGTCAAATGAGATGAACATGCAGCCTGGGATGTACAGAAATTGCGCCTTGATCTCCAAGACATTGGCCGTCATGGCCATGTATTCCTCCAGCCGGTGAGTCGGGGCGCCGTACATCATCAGCGTGCGGCAGAGCTGCATCATGTACTGCTGCCGAGCAAGCACCGTGGCAATGTGCTTCGTCAGCCGGGCCTGTCTGTCACTCTTTGGTCTTTTTTTTCTGTGCTCCCACGGCGGCGGCGTTGACGCTCGTTCGGCGAGGTGTTGTTCGCTGTTGTACCATTTGACATTGCGCTTGTTCCCTCGCCTGGATCTCGGCGCACGCGTCGTGTCTGTTTCTGACTCTGTCGCATCATTTTCTGGGGTCCTGGTCCCTGGCGTGAGAGAAAATCCGCTCTCTGAAGCCGGATTGTCCGCATAAGAACGGAGCAATTGGGAGAGGATGCTCCCGTCGACCGGGGTTCCCATGCGATGCTCGCCAAGGTCTGGGGTTGAAGGACCCGTGGATGCGCCGGACTGGGCTTGTTTCGGATGCCGCCGCCTCGTATGATGTTTCGGATTGAAATGGTCCAGAAGCATTTTGGCCTGTGTGTGGTGATCAACGCCTCCAAAACCGTCTTCCACGCCAGTCCCCCGACGAGCCTTGACGCGGTTCAGATCATCCGTTGCCCCAAACCATTCCGGCGATATACAAGTATTCAAGTCGCCATCTGCTCCTTCTTTATGACGGCCCATAAGAGAATCAGCGGCTGCACCCAGTTTGTCTTTCCACCACGACCTTAGTGAGGCGTCCTTGTTCTCCCGATTGGCGAGGGTCCGGTGGCTCTGATCGAACCTGGTTTCAGGCAGCAAAACAGATGGCGTTTCGCCATGATGAGTGGTATCGTCGCCCTCTTTTGAATGGTCCATCAATCAGGGCGGATGGGAGTATTTGAGCCAATGGAAGGGGTCGCGTGCGCTCTGCCGATGGACATTAAATAGGGTTGAACACTTTGTCTGGATGAGAAACACGGATAAACGCCAATCAACCCGCGTAGTGGCTCGATTTCGCTACGCGTCTTGGACTTGGATTTTTCGGTTATATGGATTGGAGAAGATAATTCCTTCCTAGGAGCAGACAATTATTTATTCGGTAGCTGGAGCCATGGGGGTCGGTTATGGCGGCACGTTGGACACGACTCCTCAAGAATTTGGACTGGGAAGCGCCCGCCCTTCCCGAAGCCAGACATCGGTTCCTGGCGGAGGCGTTTGTTGATTCGGCTTTGGCGCCGGGCTCCCTGGCTCGACCTGTTGAGGTGGAATCGGAGATCTGCTTGTTGATGTCACATCTCCACCAAAAATAAGCTGTCAATTGTCATTTGATCCACCCGCCTGCCGACATGGGAACAGAACGGGAAGCCGTTCGAATCCGTCAGACAACTGGGAAATACAATGGCATGTGTAGAAGTGGCTCGGGCTTCAAGAAAGTTGCCAAATCTGAGCCAACAGGATTTGGTGCAAGCCCGCGTCGACAGGCTCCCTACAATCTTGGTACGAGCGACCTGCAGGATCCTCGCAGCACACACCGGTGCCCAAATATGAGATCGACTTCAATGTTGACTCCAGGTAATGGATGGTATGGATGGTGGCTTGGCTGATCGTATTGTCCACAGGGGTCTCACAGCATCAATGATCCCCCGCAGCCGCAACTGGAGGATCAACGGAGACTGGAGCCATCAGTCGATCCCTTCTTGACGTCATCCCCTATTTCCAGATGCCAGTCGGCCAAGATATCGTCTTGGAAGAACCCCCACACTCTTATGCGGAGCTTTCTGGATGTTGAGAGGGGATTGATGATGATCAATTTTACCTATCGTCCATAGCTTTCTGTCTGCATGTGGTCTCACGTGCTGTTTACAAAGGGCCTCCAATCTCGCTTAGGTTGGCCGGGTGAGGCTGGATCACGTGACTCCTTACAACACTGGGCAGTGGACACTCTTCGACGGGACGACTCGCCATGAATAGCATCAATTGATGGAAGCAAGCTCGACCGTGCCGACGGGAAACGACAGCGCGGCAATGACAAAAGCTGATTCAGCAGATTTTACAATTGCCCTAAACTAGCCATAACTCTGAAACAAGGTAGCAAGAAGGACGTGCGCCAAAAATGAGGTGTCTGGTCAACTGGTGTTACATGCTTTGACAACTCGGCCAAAAGTGGAGGCCTCACACAAGTGAAGATCTTATTTTGGCAGATCTTCTGGTTGTTTCCTTACAACACCGGGCGTTACAAGTCCACGCCTAAGCTTGGGTGGCGTCATCGCGCAAAACAAACAGCTCTCGCCTCCATCCAAACCGCTTCGCCATTCTCTGGGCCATGACCCGCAACATGACGGGGTCAATCTTGGGTACAGGGTGAGGTCTATGAAAGACAATCCTGCCCTCCCCATCACGCTGCTTGAACGACACGTGTGACCCCCCGTTGTTCCTGGCAGTGAATCCCGCATCTGCCATGGCGTGGACAAATCTGTCCCACGTTACATCTTTCGCGGCACCGTCCTTCTCGGGGAACATGAGGTGAAAGACATCCAACCATTGCTTGGCCACTTTGATTGTGGCAATGTTGACCACTGCGGTAGTTTCTGCTTGTACATCTGGCGTCTCATCTTCGACTAAGGGAGGCTTTGGGGTCCCCCTCGTTTTTGTCTTTTCCAGGCGTGGGATAATAGTCGCAGTCGTGGAACAGGTTTCGGCCCCGTTGAAGAACTTGGTCACTGGTTGTGGCCTGTTGCGTTCATGAATGGCCGCGAGAACTTCATTGTCCTCTCGCTGTTTGTCTTGTCGATATTGATCGGTCAGATTCACAGAAATCACCTCAAGAAGTTCGTCAGCCTCTGCCGGACTGAGATCACAGTCTTTGTATTCTTTCCTGAGTGTTCTTCTTATCGATTCCCAAAACGTCTCCAGATCAGCACGGAGCTGCTGGGACTTCGCTAACCAGGCAGGAGTTTTTGGGCCCGCTGGTGCATTTGCAGGAGAGAAGGTCTTCAAAAGTGACTTGCCGATGTTCTGGCGGTCACGGGAATATTCTGCGTCATCGTTCTTTCTCATTTGTAACGCTAGTAAGCAGCTGTGTCTCTCTTTTAGAGTTTCGAAGTCGCAGGCCGTTCCAGGGGTATTCTTCGGTCGATGGAAATGGACAGCCATGAGCATTTCATGGCAAGTTGCGAGATCCGACAGCACCTGGTAGGTCAATTCATCCAATCTATTTCTCTCAGACGGGTTATTCTGCATGTGCTCCTGCAGCATTGCGAAAAGCGTGGCGGGATCGAAGACGGTTGGGTCGCAGGGATTTGCCAACAACCTGACCAGGCACCAGTCAAGACGGTCATTGTTGAAAGACTCCTGTGTGTTGACGGGCGTCTTCCGGCGATTGGTGCCAATATAGGGCAAGTGTGGTTGCGCGTAGGGCTCGAAGCTCCAGTGTTTTTGAAGTCCTGGGACAAGCGGCAAGAGATCCTGGAGGTAAGCGATCTTGAAACAGATCTGGTTGACAAGGAGGAACTCTAGGCCACCGAGAGCTCGGTCATAGTGAATGGGCAGGGCGGCGCCAGGATATACGCTGTCGCGAAATCTGCCTCGCGCTGCGTCGACATGTCTGCACTCCATTGCGGTCCAGCGCCACCAATGATAACTAAACACCTCGACGTGAATGCGTTCGACAAGCACCCGACCCTGGTAGAAATCTGAGCTCTTGAAGACTCCGGTTGCAAACATGATCTTCAGGTACCGCCGCATGTATGCGGCATTGCACTGCAAGTGCCAGAGATGGTCTTCCGTTGCGTGCAGTCGAGTCTCGGCGAGCGAGACCAGGTATTTACTATCGAACTGCGGTGGCGCTGAGAAGGCTTGATTCGTGTATGGGGACCAGAATTCTACTGCTCCCGTCTCTCTAAACGCAGCGTTGCTGATGAGATTTCTCCACTTGTTGATCCGAGGGGGTTGTGAATTGTCGACACCTTCGAGGATCTTGGTCACGATATTGTGGAGGACTTCCATGAGGTATGCCTGCGCTTCGAGAACGAGGGAAGCCCGGGGGAAGCCCAATATATCAGCTCGATGGGCCGCATTTTGGTCCCAATCCACCAGCGATCCGTATTTGTGTCCATGCATGACAACACATTTTGGTGAGAAGTCAACATTGAGATATCCAGATGCCCAACTTTGATCAAGTTGTTGGCTATCGAACGCTGCCCACTGCTGCGGAGAATAGGCTGTCCTGTAGTGCAGCAAGGCAAAGAGAACTGCAGGATTAGTCTTCAACACTTCCACGTTCAGCCAAGGCAAAAGGAGTTGACGCCTCCCCTTCTGTAATCTCCCAAGTAGGGAAGACTGTGGGTGTAGGAGCCAGTACCGCGGAAGAAGCCATTGCTTCTCTTCAAGATCCGGAGCTGCCTCCTTTAATAAAGCTTCACGCTTTGCTTGGCTTTGTTTGATCCACCGGCTCATTAATATATCAGCGAAGACATCCAGACGCTCTGTCAATGCGCTTTGGAGATTATCCATTTTCCTGACCGCCAAGAGCACTCTGCGCTCCGCATCCTCATCGGAGAGCCTGTAGCAATAAAATTGACCAGTTCGACCGAATGTGGATTGAGCCTCGACAGTATAAAAGCCGTTGATGCAGTAGGCACACTCGCATGGGGGCTTGGCTATGGGCGTAGATTGTAGTGTCTCATAGGCGTGCCTGAGTAACATGTCGATGTCAATGGGCCCTGGTAACCCATCATCTTTCTTGGGGTCGAAAGGAGTCATTTTGTTGCGATTTGCTGAAGCGTTTTTAAGGAAGGATAGAGGATTTTCCCTTGCCGACAAAATAAACTAATCCTCTCGTCCCACCAGACGTGCTTTGTTTATCCACCATGGAGATGAAATCTTGAAGAAGAGCCTCTGATACGCGGCGCGTTTGCATGCCACGTGCAGCAAACGCGCCATGCAAACGCTGTTATTGTCTTGTGGATGCCTAATCTTTCGAGCCGGTACCAGTTCCTCGCGTCAATACAATTGAATAAGCCCAGTTTATCCCTGAGGCATAATGTTAGGCGTGTTCCGGAGTCAGAGCACGGCTCAGGGCAACGCGAGACTTACGCGAGGCGCGTTTCCTTGATGTGGAAAGAAAAGTAATGCTGGGTAGTGCAGAAATCTTATCCAAAAACTTGGACGACCACAAAGCAACATCTTGTAGCATCATGAGGGGGAGATTTGAGAAGAGGCCTGGCGTGAGACCGTGAGAAGCCAAAAATAACGCGACGCAACCAGTCATCATGACTCGGCATTTGGGGCCCAAGAGCATCTAACCGCTCATGTTATTGAAATGACAACGGTGACGGCGATAAAAAATCTGGTCCTCGCGGTTGGCAAAGCAACACTCATCGCTCGGATGATGTTTGGTCTGCGCCACTCGTCGCGAGTGAAGCAGTCATCATGGACCTGATTGAGCTCTACTTTGAGATTGTCTATCCCATTATCCCCCTAATCCGTCAACCCTAATTGACAAGACGAATATCTCCGGATGCTTTTTATGTCCCAGCAAAGGCACAGTTGCGTCATCTCGAAGGCAGTACAGATATTGGCACGTCTCGAGCCCATGCTGTCTTGGCCATTTTGTCCATTCAAACTGGCAAAACCAAGGACATGCACTTGCAACTGGGAACGGACCACACTTTAATGCTCTTCATGATGAATCCAACTGACCCAAGAATATTAGAAACGCTGAACGACAAGAGAGGAGGAGACTTCTAGGTACCGACAACCTTGAACTTGGCACAAGCGCTTGTAGTAGACTAATTCTTGCATATTCAGTTTTGGTCCTTCTACACCCTGGGAATCTACGTGTCAGTTATTTGGGGCGGGATCATACGGTGTCACGAGAAGCAATCCAAGGTCTCATATCCGATGGAACTAGACGACGAGCTTATCCAACAGCAGAGCTCAAACCCCCCTCAACCAGCTCCATATGAGCCCATCTTCTCGTCGGCACAGTTCTCGCGTTTCCGCCGAGTCTTGGATTTCTGAGTGGAGCTTCATTACAGATCTATATCGTGTGCTAGAACATGCATTGACACGATTTCGAGGCTATAGCAATCGGACGGGTGAAGTGTTCCACCACGTCCCACCTCCATGCAAAGCACTTAAAGCGTCACCTCCGTTGCCGCAAGTCCAACCGTGGCCTCTGCTATCTTGTGCCAGGCCGACACCTTCAGGTCTTGCCAGCATATCAAAAGACCATTTACACAGTTAAGCCAGCCAAGGTGATTCTAGTAGCTTCCTCGCATCTAAGCGCTCCTCTGGGTCCGTTCTCACCATGGACCTAATAAAATGCAAAAAACTCTTCTTTTCCGCACCCGAGAGGTCAGGATTCTTGCTAAATTGTTCCAGACTGCACGGTGGGAAGGCTGACGGCTTGAGAAGTTTGCCTATGTGATGGAACGATGATTCAGCATAATGTAGTCAAGTTTGTGCTAACCAGGTTGCAGGGTATCCATACCGTCAGTGTCAAAATATCGATGTCGATTCTTCGATCGATCTAATAATGGCCTGGGTATACTGCCAAACACGGCAGTTATTTGAGCTAAATGAGCTTCAGGTGAATACGGGCCACTCGGAGTCCACATGCCATCGAACAGAAGTCGTCCCTCTGCAAGTTCCCATATCTGTCAAGGCAAGCATCAACATGCCGTATATCACAGTGTTACAGTCCTAATAGAACTTACAATTAGTCCCAGATTCCATACATCAACCTTGTGATCCCAATTCGCTTCGAGTATCACCTCGGGAGCTCGCAGCATTTGAGGCTGGATCCACTCTGTGAGGTGCCTTTCGAACCAGCTTGCTGCAACCAACTCATTAGATGAGCGCAACTACGCCTGTGCTGAATGTCCTACCTGTACCAAAATCTGCCAACATAATGGAGATGTCGGTCGAGTGAGCTAAATCTTCTTCCGCGGAGGAGACTTGAGCAGATTCAGTGTAAAAGTCCAGCGGAGGAGGCAGCGCTAAGCTGTCTGGCTTAAATGCTTCAGACGGTGCGTGCTTGAACATATTCTTTATGGCAGAAGTCTGAATTAGGATATTTTGAGGCTTTATGTCTGAGACTATTATTAGGGGCAGGCGAGTAAAGGATCAATCAACGCCGAGACCGTTTACTAACCCGTGTGTATGACTTGACATGTGTCGTGTAAATACGATAGAGCGAGCAGAAATTGTCTTGAAATATCCTTCATGAGAGGCAAGGGAATTCTCAGATTTGGGAAAAGTCGCCTGTACTTGGACATATCCGGGCCCATGGCCGGGAAGACAAGGCAGGCATGATTTCCATTTGGACCATCATGCTTGAAGTTATCAAGCAGCGGAAGAATATGGTGTCTTCCGGGGTCGGAGGCAATCTCACTTCGTATGCGTTTGAGAATATCGATTTCAAAGGTGTCGTTTCCATGTCCGAAAGAGTCGGCTGTGAGAATCTTGAGCGCAACATGCCGCTCCGACCTGGAGTCGAACTCAGTAAAAGTATCTTTTCCCAGCAATACTAAGACTTACTCGAGATCAAAGGCAAGCCAGACGGTGGAATAAACACCATATCCAAGTTTGCTGATGATTTTATATTTGCCGTCACGGAACAAGTCTCCAATTCTCACAGGGTGGTAGCCCCCGACACAGTACCGTGTTATGTTTTCTTCGGAAACGGGTCCCGAAGAATGTAGCCGTTTATAGGAGTGGCTAAACGAAGACTTCATACGACGTGCCGCAGAATTGAAGGTGTTTCTGAGTGCCATTGCCGTACAATGCGAAAGGTGTGTCTGAAGAAGATGCGGTCTGCGATGAGTTACTCAGATGAAGATGTGAGCAGCTTATCACGTGATGTTTTCAAGTACTACTACAATTATTAATATGCCAGGCTTGCAGCCGCAGAATTGTTAAGACAACTAGTTAAAATGAAAATCTTTAAAACAATAGCCACGCGTGGAACGAAATACTCCTGCTTGTGAATAACAATCTTTTGGATATAGTTTATTTAACATCGTAGCGGAATACACAGGATCTAAAGGTGAAAGGATTAAATTAGTTCTACAGACCAGAGATTCTAGAAAATTGGTTATTAAGACGCAAGCTATATGCTAGACGTGATGTCGCATTATATTTTATGGATGTAATAAATTAGTATAAAAATTCTCTTTTTGCGCAAAACGTGTCAAGACTACTTACATGACCAAAGTTTAGTCTTAAGCGTATCGCGATCTGTTTTATACTCTCTTGGTCTTAGCTTTATTTTTATAATAATAAGGACTTTTAAAATATAATTATATTAGCTTTATCCCTAAAATTTCTTATAGCATACAATAATACAAACTTCAGTAGAATATTGCTCTTTGTCCTTGTTTAAGCAGTACTATTTCTGATATACCCAATATTTACCAAGTCGTCGCGAGTGAGATGTTGCCCGCTAATTAAATAATCTGCCTTTTCATACCTCATTCGCAGTCTTAAGGCTCTTGCACTAGTATCGTCCATAAACACTATACTAGTACGTGGAAAATTAGAAATCATCTTCTGCGGATCCGCCTTTGCCTCCTCGATAAGAAACTTTAACAAGGCCACGTCACCCTGACCGAAAAGAGCAGAGGCCAAGACACTACCACGCTGAACTTTTAGATGAGCATTCACATCTGCCCCATGCTTGACAAGAATCTTAACACTATTTAGTGAGCCCCAGAACGCGGCACTTGTGAGTGCAGTGCCAGCCCTGGGGAGATCCGCGTCAATAATCGCTCCGGCGTTGATTAACAATTCCGCCCTGTAAGCAGAGTCGTCCCAACATGCGGCCGCTTCTAATGCAGAATTAAATCGGCATTCTTCCGGACACAAAAGATTTGGGCTCGCATTATATTCAAGGAGAGCCCCCAAAATTTCGGTGTTACGCTGTGCCGCTTCACAAATAGCTATAGAGGATGTATGTAGATTCGGATCAGCGTTGTGCTCCAGAAGCGTCCTGACGCAAGGTACGTGCTTCCCCATAACGGCTTCCCTAAGCGCACTTGTTTTCATAGACAAAGACGCGTCACTCCAATCACGTACATGTAGGATTCTGTTCGTATCGCTGCCCATCTTGATTAGCTCGACACAAAGTGTGTCGTGGCCGTGCCGAGCAGCGAATGCGAGAGCATCAAATCCTTGCCAGTTGAGTTGTTGTACATTGAGATGGCCACCCATCCATGTTTTTGCTGTAGCATAAAGATTGAGAGCTATTATCCAGAAAACTAGGTTGCTGTTGAGACTTAGACCGTCCACTAGATGTGCATAGTCCCCCTTAATCAGCTTAAAACGCATCTGTCTCGAGGCGTGTTGGATCCATCTTCGATACTCCTCGCTGGAGCTCAAGGTTTCGCCCTCGACTGCCATAAACCGTTTGAGAAGATGTGACACTTGTGGACATCCATTATCCCCAGCTTGTGTTGCTTGGATATGCCACGGCCAAAAAACTGACACATAATTTTCCAATTTAGGACTCCTGCGTCGTGATCGGAAGTCGCCTGAGACGTCGATGGGGCGGAGAGGAGGGCTTTCAATCAATCCCTTACATGCATCTTCTGGAAGTGGCCATGCGCTATAACGCTTAATAAGAATTAGAAGCGACAACTTTGCCAGCTCAATTTTGGCTGTTTCTTCCATCCAAGACTGATGTTGGGTCTGAAAGTATTCCAAGACGGATGCATGAGCGAATTTCCAAGCATCATCTTCGACATCCTCATTTATGAGATGGCAGCAGATTTGTGCAAGTTGCAATTTGGTCAGTTCCCTGGATTTCTCCAAAGTGTAGACATTTTGATCGTCGTGCTTAGCTTGTAACCGGACTGCTGAGAGCAATTGCTCGGTTGATAGTGGCATTCGGACATATAATACCCATCTTACAGCCCGTTGCAGCAAAATTCGATCAAATTCTTGTTTTTCATTATAAATCTCGTCATATGCTGCCACGAGGTCTTTGGGGAGGTTCTCGAGACGGTCCAAGATTGCCTCGGCGGATGTGAGGGATTTGAGCTGATCAATCTGCAGGAATGCCCATCTAAACCTGTATCCGATTGTAAGCAATGGATCTCCATCAGAGAGCCCTGGATATGGTGAGCCTTACATTCCATGGTGCCCCTTGGACAGCTTCTCTTCCACAGCCAATTTTACATCTGATGACCATTCATCGCCCACCTCTTCTATTGTCGTGCTGATATACCTTTCAATATCGTCATGATTGTCCTTATTGATGGTAATTTCGACCGTGTGGTTGCTACAGATAGTTCTGCGAATATGCTGCTCGTCTCGGCTTGAAACAAAGATCTTGATAAGGCTTTGAGACTCATCCATAAGTCTCGTGAAGAATTTCACAAGTCTCTTGGCAGTTCCTTTGTCGCATTCATCAAGGGCATCTAAAACGAAAATAGTGCGGGGAAGAATATTGATGAGCTGCACTATCTTCTCTTGGCACTTTTGGACAGAGAATACTTCAGACTTCTTCCTCATTTCATCGCAGAGCCCAATGAGGCTTTGCTCCATGCTCGTCGGATAATGCGGAACGGTAGCCAGTTGCCGCAAAAAGCTTCTGAGAAGATGGGTTTCCAAATCATCCTGGATGTCAGCATCACCTTTACTGCAGTAGAAGAATGCGAAGCCTTCGTCGACCAATGGGCTATCGACCTCGTCTATCAGCCTCTGAGCATCGACGTAGTAGCGATCAACGACTTTAGAAGTAAGTAGAGATTTTCCGGCGCCAACTATGAAAGATTAGTTAGAATTCCCAGGCATTGGTGCACGCAGTGGCAGGGCAACTACCTTCACCGTTGAGCCAGAAAATTGACGACATGCTGGAAGTTTCCCAGTGAAGGAACTTCTGGCGTTCCAATAGCCAGTCGCAAGTTCCTTCTAACCTTGTGTTCTTCCTTCTCTGATGTTGATTGCCGATGTTCACCTTGCTGATAAAGTCCAATGTGTCGTAATGTTTACTCCTTTCCACTTGCGTAAATAGAGCAGCCATTCGCTGGTCAATGTACCGTAGAGGCTCGTTTAATCTTTGAAGGAGCTCTCTGTTCTTTGCATTTTCCGTCTGTCTTTGCTCGGCTTCACAAGCTTGTACCTCGCGAGAAAGGAGGGCTTCCGACTTACTTAGTGCCCCGACCATCTCATTACCTTCCCCCCGGGGATTTTCTAGGGCATGCAGGAATCGAACGATATTTGTCTGTTGGAGGCAATCAACTGTAAGTGCCAGAAGGCTAAGACACGCTTGATATGCATTGACTAGTGCTTCGCGCAGGCCCTCCGAGGACTTGAAACTCGTCTCGGTAGCTCCTTCGATGTAAATAGCTTCGTAAATTTTGCCACGCCGGACCAAGCGCAAAACTTTCTCCGCGCACCCCAAGAGGGCAGTGAGTTGCTGGCATTGATCTACGTGGGCCTAAAGTACGTGGTTTAGCTCCTCATTCGCCGATGAACAAAACAACATGATATGATGAAAGGGAATACCTTGAGAAGAACTTTCAGGGCCGACCAGACAACTTCAGATCCAGATGGGGCAAACTTAACTGCAAAGTTGCCGATATCAGTTATCCAGGAAACGACCCGATTGGCATAGTCTCTCCATATAATTTCCCGATCTCCAATCTTGATTTTGTGTGTTTTGTCTTTAAACTCTTTTTCCCTCTCTCGTACGATACCAATTAGTTCATCAATCTGAACCTTGATATCCTCACGACTCATGTATTTATCAATGCGGGCCTTTGTCGTTTTATCTGTTTTCTCGAGCGCCTCTTGCCAGAGACTCGACTCGGACTTTGCTTCCGACTGAACAACATTGTCGCTCGCAGTAGCGTCTTGTTGACTGTCTGCAAGAGATTTGTTACTGGTCGAATCGGGCGCTGCTATGGTTTTCGAGATATTCGTAGGCCCGGTAGATTGAACGTTATCATCGTCTGTTTGGCCGTTACTGGAAATTTGGGTAGCTGATTGGCTTGGCAGGCGGCTTGAACGGTGAAATAGACGTCTGAGTCTCGACCAAATCCGTGATAATACGGTTGGCGAACGGCTGTCGTCTCCCTGCTTCGACATGCTGTGAGAATCAGGTTTTACTCGGGTGTGATAAATCTGCTAGAGGTGAAAAGAATCGCGAAGGAGGCAACGCGCTGATAAGGTGAAAGACAAGAAGATCTCGAGACGGTGATTTGAACCTACCTTTCCCCTCTATTTTACATTTTTGGGCACCCATGCAGCGGAGGGCATTGCGGCCCAATATGCGTTGGTTGGATGGAAGGGCTGTGTTTACTGTCAGCAGGTTGGGGATGTGGTTACACGGTCTGGTCTGGCTGCATGGCCAGAAGTAAAGACTACGGCGACGGACGTAGATAACTGTACATATCAATTGATGCAAATACCACACCAGAAAGTCCTAGTTAAATTGGCAAGTTTGCGGATGGCTTGATTGGGGCCTCTCCGTCCTCGCCCAACGCTTTGAGGATAGTTGTGTTGTCCTTTGGCTCTTTGTTCTGCAATAACTTCAGTAACGGGCCTGGCATTTGCGAGAGCTCGGTGCTTTGCGGTGCAACACGATGTACCATTGAGATAATAGACAGAACACATACACGAGATCTAATCCTGCTCCGAGTCCTCACCGGTATATAAGTGTTACATGGATGACACGTTGCCATGAAGGCACGGGCCGAGCTTTGAACCCGACGATAGTTACACAAGGGCTCTGATCACGAGACCAATGGTAAGGTCCCTCACCGCCTCTTAATAAAAATAAAGGTCTTCCGCCCTTAGGGCCTGAAAAAAACCAACGACTTTTGATATCAAAGCAAAGGATTAGTTGAATACGAATGTTGTTCTAGGCCCCTGAATACTAGGCCCTTGTCACAGTAAGGGCCTGGATTGGTCGCCAAGATCAAGCTGTGCCAACGCAGGTGACATTATCAGAAAATTGCATAGCTTGAGAGTGTAAAACCCTACCAGACGGTAGATTTATCTCGAACCGATCCCAGGTTGCTCCGCGGCAGTGTGCCAGACGACGTGTGCACCATGACAACTTGTTGTCCATTACTACGAAACACGTCCTACAATACAACCGATTGCCCACCAGCCTTTTCTCCGGGACCCTTATCGGTGGTCTCGATCGATAGCACAGGCGAAAACTCTCCATCCACTTCGTCAAGAAGGCGACGGACGGCAATGGCGACATTTCCGCCTGCCTGATCCATGCGGCGCTCGTAGTCGTCCATGTTCTTGTTGACGAAGATGCTGTCGTTCGTGAAGAGCAACGAGACTTGCTCTAATGACCTGCCGGCAACCTCAGGGTAAGTAAGCCATACAATAGGGAAGGCTACGATATTCAAGGAGCCAAAAAACACGTAGGTCGCCCATCCCAATTTGTCGAGCAAGATGGGAATAACGAATTGTGTCATGCCGCAGCCGGTAGCCCACCCGAATATAGTGAAGCTATAACCCTTGGCACGGATTTCCTGTGGCCAGATCTCAGTGCCGTAGATCCATGAAGGTACGATATTAAACATGCAAAAGAACCTTGTTCGCGATTAGCAGTCTAACAAACGACTACCTTTGCGGCGAGGGAGAGGGGCAACTCACCAGAGGTAGACAAAAACAAAAGAGGCTGCTCCTGTGCCGAGATTTGCTGACAAGTCTGGGTCAGTTGCGGCACGGTCCTCGGATGTTTTGATGAGAGCGGCGACAAGGAAGAGCGAGACGCCTTGAATGACAAACGAAACCAACAACGACTTGACACGGCCCATGCGATCGATTACAAGTGCTGCTGCTGCAGTTCCAGGCACGCCTAGAGAGTTGACAAGTCCTGCCAGCAAGAGCGACTTGTACGAGTCGAAGCCCGCAAGGCTGAAGAGCTTGCCAGCCCATGACACAATGGCCAAGATGCCTGTCCATTGTTGAATCCATTGCAGCGCAAATCCCATGACGGCACGTCTTCCCAAATGGAGTTTACCTGAATAGCGACCGCCCAAACTAATATTGACAAGGTCATTTCGTTTGTGATGGGTGGCTTCGACAATGGCATCCAGCTGCTCGACTTCGGCGACAATTTGGGAGTCATTTGAAGACAGATCCCCCCGAAGCTTACAGAGGATGCTGATGGCTTCCGTTCGTTTGCCATTCGCTATTAGCCACCTAGGACAGAGTTAGGCATTGGACAGTACCGAATCTGTAGACAGCACATACCGTGGTGATTCTGGCAAGAAAGGAACGGCCACGTCAACAACAATGAGAGGGATGATCATCCACGCAAGCGGGAATCGCCATTGAAAGGACTCATTGGATTCGCGAAGCCCAAAGTTGATCCAGTAGGCGATAGTGATGCCGAGAAAATTGGCGACGAATACGAGCGAAAAGCTGGAGCCACGGTCGTGTGACTGAGACAGCTCACTGACCCAAGGGAGGATAATGGCATTCATGAAGCCGATGCCAATGCCCGCAATGACGCGAGCGCACAGGAACATGTTGGAATTCTGGCTGGCTGCTTGGAGAGCGGCGCCGACGATGCCAAACCACGTCCCCGCGAGGACGCCGTTCTTGCGGCCAAACTTGTCGCCCACCCATCCTTTTACGGGCACATGTTAGTTATGAGATGTTTACCACCTGAGCGTCTTCAGTCTGATGTACGCTTACCTCCGATGAAGCATCCCCACATACCGCCAAAGTAGTACGCAGCGGCGAGGCCACCTTGTTTGATACTGTCTGTGACAACATCATCATGGCCGATTTGGGCCATTTTGATGAAGCCAGGAGTGCCGCTAACCGTGCCATAGACGCCTTGATTGTATCCTGTTATCACACATGTCAGCTTGGATGGTGTGAACAACAAGTCAAGTCCGCGGATCAGTACCTTCGAATATCAGGGCAACCGCAGACACCAAATTGATGAGGAAAAGCAACACCTTTCCAGGTATGTATTGCCATATTTGTGGCAAGGCCATTTTTTCCGAAAGTCGAGAGACAGTAGGAGACAAGCGATTCAGTAACGCTGGTGATGGGCCAGATGCTTGATATACGTATGGCATGGTTGTTTGAAGGATTGTCTCGGTGCATTGATACTTGCTTGTGGCTGAGGTTTGTCAGAGGTAAGAATCGGGGAATCGGCCACGGGGGACGGGTGTGGGAACTGATGCAAAAACACCTGCAGAAGACAATGCTTCCGTCCGGGGAGGAGTGAGACGGCTGGATCATACATATATGCAGGTCCCCCGGTTGCGTCTGCCATTCGCGCCGAGAAACTGGCTCGATCTTATCGCACGATCAGTCATCCACCCGTTCATGATTTACCAACGGTTATACATTTATGGGAAGAAACGGCTAAACGCTTATATGCCAACGGTGTGGTTGGCTTGGCGGCCCAATCATTTGCTTGTACTGCTTACCTTGTGTTACACATGTCTGACTTTCCCTTTGTTCATTTAAGCGTTTAAGCACTTAAGCATGTAAGCGTGTAAGCTGAAAACAACAGGGAGCATCCTCCCGCATCTACCCTGCATCCGTCACGTGCGGTATTGAGGAGAAGCATGCCGTATTTGCATTTGTTGATGATATGTAGCCTATGATTCCATGTCTTTCATATGAATACTCTCTCATGAGCTGTTGTCCGAGGTTCCAAGTTAAAAAGCATCAGCGAAACCTCAACGGACACGATGGGTTCGGTTCACGATGGAGCCACTGGCTCACATTCCTCACCATTAGATCTCATTGTGTTGGGCCTCAACTCTGGCACGTCCATGGATGGAATCGATTGTGCCTTGTGTCGGTTCAGACAAGCAACCCCCAATGCGCCGATGCATTTTGAGCTGCTCAAGTATGATGAAGTGCCCCTGGAGCCGACCATCAAGAAACGCGTCATGGCAATGATCCTTCACAACACGACATCGCCAGAAGAGCTTTCAGAAGTCAACGTCATTTTAGGCAAGGAGTTTGCCCAGGCTGTCAAAATCTTCTCCCAGAGACATGACGTTCCACTCTCCTCAATCGATGCCATTGGGTCTCATGGCCAAACCATCTGGTTTGTAAGTATGCCGGAAGAGGGAAAAGTCACGTCTGCTCTTACCATGGCCGAAGGATGCTTCCTGGCGTCCATGACGGGCATCACGACAGTGACAGACTTCCGCGTCTCGGACCAAGCCGCCGGGCGCCAGGGAGCGCCTCTCATTGCCTTTTTGACTCGCTCGTCCTGCATCACCCGACCAAACTTCGCGCTTGCCAGAACATTGGCGGCATTGCCAACGTCTGCTTCATCCCGCCGGACAAGGACGGCAAGCTCAACCCCGAGTTTTTCGACTTTGACACGGGGCCGAGCAACGTCTTCATTGACGCCGCCGTCCGATACTTTACAGACGGCCAGCAAGAGTACGACCAGGACGGCCGCATGGGCAAGGCTGGCACCGTCGACGAGGAAATGGTGGACAAGTTCCTCTCGTCGTTTTCGTACTTTTCCCTCGACCCCCCCAAAACAACGGGCCGCGAAACCTTTCGCGACACAGTTGCTCACGACTTGATCGAACAAGGTCTGCAAAGAGGGCTTTCCCCCAACGACGTCGTCGCCACCATCACTAGGATCACGGCCAAAGCCATTGTTGACCACTACAAGCGCTACATGCCGACCGACTACGGCCCGCTCTGTGAGATTTACATGTGTGGCGGAGGTGCCAAGAACCCCAATATTACAGACTACTTGCAGGCTGCGTTTCCTGCAGCCAAGGTCATGATGCTGGACGAGGCGGGCATTCCTGCCGATGCCAAAGAAGCCATCACGTTTGCTTGGCAGGGAATGGAGGCCATTGTTGGACGCAGCATCCCCGTGCCTGACAGGGTAGCCACCAGACAGCCGTATGTGCTGGGCAAAGTCAGCCCGGGGAAGAACTACAGACGAGTGATGAAAATGGGCATGGATTTTGGTGCTGGGCAAGACGAGCTGGAGCCTGTCACCGAGTTGGTACATTACATCGATGGGAAGGTCTTTAGTAATAAATGAAGCTGGAATTAGACGCATCCAGGTAGTGTTTCGTATCAAGTCGGTTCCTATCCAGTCACCGATTTATATGGAGCAAATTCATTGCATTATGTCACGTTTCGACAAGTGATTGTGCCCATTTATCGATAATATATTCCCTTAACCAATATTTTCACCTTTTAGTTTTATGAACCTAGCGAGTGGTGCTTCACAACATGACACACGACATGTTTACTTGGCTGCGGTGAGCATTTGCGTTTGTTGAACAGCCCGCCTGTGATGGTGATCCCATGCACTTGACGCTTATTTTATTACAACATGTCTCTATTCCATGTTGCTTAAAGCGATTCGTCACGGGTGGTCGAATGCTAAAGACGGCCAATGAAGACGCCCACACGACTGTGCACCACTTGACGTTTCCAGTGGTATTCTATGATTCGTGAGGCCGCATTTCTACTGGAGTACTGCCGGTGTTGCCTCGCACACTCTCCAAAACTCATGGTAGGTCATCCTACATGCTGATAAAGTGTTCAGAAACATCTGATAGTCTACTTTCCGTTTCCCGTACTGTAGGCCTCTTCTCGGCCCAGATGCTTCAATTTCGGGGCGATATATCCGGCCGCTATCCTGGGAGAGCCTGCGCGGCGAGGAAAGTCATTTCCTCACCCATCTTTACTGGTAAATATAATCTGAGCGGCAGTTGCTATGGAAGTTGAATTTGATTTCGCTCACGCTAACCTCTTGGCTTTAAAGACGTGCATGGAAATTTGGCCATCCATGCCTGCTTTTGCAAGATACCACGTCTCATGCTAGTGTCCGCATTCACGGTCCGAGGCGCCGCCTGCCGTTGTGCTGCTGCTACTCACTACAATTTTGTAAATTAGATTGTGGATAACTCGTATGTCTTGAGTTGGCAACTTCGGGCTATAATCCGTGTGTCGTCTTCATGAACGTGGGTCCTGTTTTGGAACTGGCATGAATGGTCAGTTATTCTTTGGCAGCGTAGAGGATAGTCAGCAGTAGGATTCTATATATTTGCACGTACCCAGTTTTTCTATGCTCCTCGGTAATAGTAAGCTTCTAGTGTAGGTCTAGTAAACCTGGAACGAGCTCTGGAATACAATCTGGATTTCTTTCGTGCAACAAGAGTACTATAGGTATAGACGTGAGAGCTGTCCATTTTGCTCAACATTTGAAGGGAAAAGGTGTCTGTCTCAATTATAATCTTTTATATTTCAACTTTAGACAGAGCAAAAGCCCGATAGCATGGAGTCTTCTTCATCCTCTCCATCCCCCTTGGCAAAAACATTACCGTGCTGGGATTGAAATTGAAGTGGCCGGACAGTCCGGGTTTTGGCTTCACGAGAAATTTCCAAAGTCTATTTCTGTAAATCTCCGCAAATTAAGAGCATTTTTTTCACATGCCGGACGATAATAATCAGGATCTCCCTCCATTATTAATCCAACAAGATTATCGGTGCTAATAACAGGAAATTAAACTCTACCCGGTTCAGCATTTCATATGCCCCTCATAATCTGATCTAGCCTTAGCGTCTTGAACGAAGGCTTGTCGGATGTTAATAATTCGTTTGGTTTCAGTATGTCTTGCTAGGAAAAGAGGCGAGGCGGGGTGCCAAAATTGACAGCACAGCCCCGGCTTTTCTTAAGACACAATTCAAGTCGGTATTAATATATATGGGTAGAGAGACTTTTGTAGCCGGCTGGAATTTTCCACCCTACTATAAGAGACATGTGAAACACATTCAAGAATAAGGCCGGGAGATGCTATTGATATTTCCACGTGATAACGTCTCTAAAATTAGGGCAGAAAAACATCTTGCTTCGTTAAAAGGCAATTTATAATATAGTTACATGAACATCGGAGCTACAGGCAAGCTTGCAAAGTCTCAAATCAACAGCACCAACTGCATCCATCTCATACAGTATGTGGAAGTAGTCACGCATAACATCTCCCTACTTCCGCTCAAGTGGGACACCTCCTTCCTCAGCATCTGAAGAATTAGGAAAGGCAGGCTTCGACTTCTTAAAGACAAGACCCGGATGTCCAAAACACAAGGCTAGGGTAGCGAGAAAAACGAACACCCCTTCTAATATAATGAAAGGAACCTGCTCTTTAATCAGTGAGCCACTGTATCCATCTTGCAGTTCGGCAACACGATATGCGCAACGACTGAGAATTAGAATAATGGCAATAGTCAGACCAGAAAAGAAGGCCTTTAGTCTCCATCCAAACTTCTTCGTCTGACCAGATCGAAAATATCGGATGAGAAAATCCGCAAAAAAGCCGATAAATATTGTCAAAACAACGACTTGCAAGATTAAGCCGGCTAGAGATATATTGACACCGGTCTATATGGTAGTCAGGACTCCGTGAGATTTAATACATATTTTAAAGGCGTTTTTGCTAACCTGATTACTGCCAGTCGAATTGGTAGACATGGCACCGCCAGCAGCCTGAAGGAGCAAGCATGTAGCATCGAATGGAATAAAAATCCAGTAAAAAAGCTGAGGTTTAAATCGTGACAAATCAGGGGCGAGATGGACAATAGTCTTTGAAAGCGTAACGTAGATGGAGGCAGTGAAGAATACGGGGGCAATGGTAAGACAGACTTCTTCTTGTTAGTCATCGTCATGATATTAGAGCATGTGACTGGCTCACTGATTTGTGTCATGAAACCCGGGTAAGAGAAGGGGTTATTCCACATAATGACGCGGCCGGCGTAGCCAATGACTTCGCAAAGGCATCCCAGCAGCATGCCAGTCATAAACCCCCAGCTTCTCCATCGAATGCCAAGATAGCCATGGATTGCTCCGGCTACAATGTAAAGCATCAAAAAAGTCGTATTGGCCGCAAGTGATGGTTGGTAACCGTAAATGCTCCATGAGACCGGGCAAGTCTCAAGAGTGCAGTTTTCGTCACTGCCAAACGGTATAACACCGGGAGGAAGTTGATTCGACATCTAGTACGACGAAACTTTGAAAGACAGAAGGGGAAAAAGTTTGTAGATATGAGGTCGTAAGAATTGTAACCGATGTCAACTCAAAGTTGTAATAACAGAATAAATTGAAACAAAAGGGCTGGTGGTGATATATAAGATGTTTCAGTAAATATATTTCTTGCGGGTAGGTCGGTACTTGATGGTTCAGGATGATCTCGAGCTGTAGGTTCTGGGAGTTAAATATGGAAAATAGTGACTTGATTTGGCATATTTACTTACATACCGAATAAAGATAATAATCACGATCCCTGATGGAGGAACAACTTTGCCGAGGCTCTCGGACAATGACGTTTGGAATTGGGGCTGAGACTCGTCATCACCATCTACACACTTGTGATCTCCATTTCGAGACCTTGTACTTTGCGAGATAGCCTTCGCGGAGGCGGCGCCTTGCGAGGGTGCTTGTGGCGGCTGAGACTGGAATGCAGTATGTTAACTGCCCCGAGTTGGGGATGTGGCTGGTCTTGGTGGCGGCTGGTCAACGAGTCAATGGGCACGACGCGTAGCGGATAGGGCTAGAATTCAATGGGTTCGGCGAGCCCGGTATAGCCAATCCCAATAGTTTCTCGATCCTTTGAGTGACGTGAAGACCTGTCGGTTCTTGAGACTCCCGATGCCGTTTGTCTGGAACATCTCATGCTCTCTATGCTAACAGACTATGGATTACGCGTCTTGAAGTTAAGCGCTGCAATTTTTGACCGAATAAAGAAGAGAAAGCCTTCGGGATGATGAATGAGCGTATTGCGTCAAATATAGACACAGGGTGGCTTGATTCGGTCTGCGCACCCTCCTCACTTTCCACCACACTTTCTATAGAGAAAGAATACAGTACCAGGTGTGTCCCATGCAATTGTAGTAGTTTAGATCACGGTCGGTTCATCCCGATTGACAATTTCCATTACATCATTGCGTTTGCGTATACTTGCTTTCATTGGGTGACTTGTTGCAAGGTCAATCAGTGTTCTCACCATGTCAAGGCTGAAGAATACAACAGTTGGTAGCCACACCACGAGGTATGAGCCCTCGGCTCTATCCGCCGTGGTCTTTTCTGAAAGAGATTAATCCATAAGTGCCCTATCTGTGCTGGTTGCTTTGGTACAACAAGAGGAGAGTAAAAGACCGAGCCCAGTCTCCAATGCAACTTCTCGGGGGAAATGAATCCGAGGCAAGTTCTAGCCTTCCCCAGGTCGAAAAAACGGCGCAGCATGTACTGGTAGGGCTGGAACGACGGGGTGCTCCGAAGCCACACATGCGCAGCTTACGCGCGTTTTGTAGATTAGCATTGGGGAAATCGGATAAACAACGTTCAAGGAAAGTGATTGGCGCCACAACACACATCCGCTGTAGTATCATTCAATTGAACCGATGTGTTGTGTTGCTCAGTGAGTATATAATACAACCTGCAGCGGCCTGAGGCGAGCAAAGTCTGAGCAAGTTCCTCAATCCCTTTTGACTTGAAGCACCAATCCAATCATGGCGTGGACGAAGATTCTTGCCATTCTCTTGTATCACAGCGTGTCAGTTATTGGTGTTCAACACCATACTCATGACGAATCTTTTACACCAGACGCAGTTCTTACTGTAACTCGACAAAATATTAGCATTGCGGGAGTAAACAAATTCGCTACACTAGTCAACGACTCCATCCCTGGCCCAGCCCTACACATGCCCGAAAATGAAGTCTTCTGGGTTCGCGTATATAATAATATCGAAGACGACAATCTCACCATGGTATGAATTCTTGGAACAATGTCGAGTTTCCGCCAACGATGCTAATGTATGGTGTAGCACTGGCATGGTCTCACGCAAGGTGCCTATCCCTTCTCAGACGGCACGCCGCAGGCCAGCCAATGGCCCATTCCGCCAAATCATTTTTTTGACTATGAACTTCGAAGCCCTAATGGTTCTGCGGGTACTTACATGTACCATTCTCACGTCGGATTTCAGGCGAGCACAGCAGCAGGCCCCCTGATCATTCTGGACCCTTTGGCTGCTCCGTAT